AGCTTGCTACCTCAGGCCTGCTCTGGCCTAGGTTGCTGGCCCAGTCCTGCTTCAGCAAATGACCCTGGTCTGGATCTGCTCCTGCTCTTGTGGAGGTCACTGTCTGAGGCCTGTTCTGGCCCAGGTAGCTGCCTTAGTCCTACTCTTTTGGGGATCACTGCCTCAGACCTGCTCTGGCCTAGGTGGCTGGCTCAGTCCTATACCTATGGAATTTGTTGCTTTAGGCCTGCTCTGGCCCAAGGTTGCTGACTCTGACCTGTTCCTGTGGAGTTCTTTGTCTCAGGTCTACTCTGGCCTAGGTTACCGGTTCTGACCTGTTTCTGTAAACCGTGGTCTGGATCTGCTCCTCCAGAGGTCCCTGGTTTGGGGTTGGTCCTGCAAAGGTCTCTGGCTCTGATCTACTCCCTTTGAGTTCCCAGGCTTGGGTGCACCCAGATCTGCAGAGAACCTGGCTCAGGCCTACTCCCTCAGAGGTCCTAGACTCACACTTGAACCTGTAGAGGTTTCCGATTCCTGCCTACACCCTTTGACATCCCTGACTGATGCCCAGACCCACCCAGGTTCTGCCTCAGGCCTATTCCCTCAGAGGTTCCAGACTCATGCCTGAACCCACAGAGATCTCTGTTTCCTGCCTACTCCCTTGGAGGTCCCAGGCTCATGCCCCCTGAAATTCTTTTAAGTATAAATCGACTCTGTTTTGTTCTTTTTATAGGTGAGGAGTACTCTACAGTACACATAGCACATTTTGTCAATTAGAAGATGGATATTGGACTTGCTTCTATCTGTGGCTATAAGTGATGCTGCTGTGTATATGGTTCTTTTTGTGGAAATAGGTTTTCATTTATTTGGAGTACATTGTCAGCAATGGAATGGTTGGGTTATATGGTGAGGAACTGCTGTTTTCCTAAGTGATAGCACTCTTTGCTTTTCCTACCCCTGACTACTCAGTCACAATTTGTCTACATCCTCACCAATGGTTATTGTTATCTCCTAGTGTATATAAAATAATAGCTCATCATGAATTTGATCTGCATGTATTTAATGCTTGCTATCACTTCTTGTGCTTATTGGTCACTTGAATATCTTCTTAGGGGAAATGGTTATTCTGATTTCTTGCCCACTGTTACAGGGTTTTTTATGTTTTCATAGATAATTTATAAATGTTATTTATATACTCAAGGTACAGGTTGGTTATAAGATATATAATTTGCAACTATCTTCTTCTGCTCTCTCTCTATATCTTTACTTCCTCCAACATATGTAAGTTTTTTCCTTGGAAGATTTTTAAGTTTGGTTACTTGTGCATTTTTGTGTTATCTGTAGAAAAGTCATTGCCTGACGCAAGACTTTACATTTTTCATGTCTTTGTTCCTGGTATCTATAGTTTTCACTTTAATTTTTGCACTTTGAACAACTTTGTCATTCATTTTTGTATAGTACAGTACATAAGAGTCAATAGTAATTTTTGGAATAGCTAGGGTTGGTTTATTTAACATGTAAAAATGAAAACAATTTAGGGGTCCTGTGAAAACATTTAAAATACAGACACATTCAGGACAGGAATAATCCTAGCCCAATGCTTGAGGCAGGGTGAAGGAGTTGAGCCCAGCCTCCACCTGAACCAGCTTTCTCTTTCAAGCTGAGACAGTCTCAAGAGAGGAAGGCCACAGCCTCCTCCCCATGAGCAGACAGCATTGGGTGATCACAAAGAAAGAGCTGTTGACATGAGGGTTGGTTTCTGAAGTGACCCTGGGTCTTCTGTAGGTGGTTTCCATTCAGCAGAAGAGAATAGTGGTCCTGGGTGGGGGTCTGAGGACAAAGGGCCAACACTCAACAAAGGCCCTCTTTCTTACAGTAACACTGTATCCCCTTTTTCAATAGCAAGAAAACAAAAATCCAGGGAAGTCCTTAGGAAACAATCCTCTCCCTTGATGTACCTTGACAGTGTCTGCCAGAGCAGAGGAGGGGAAGAGCTGGGCTGACTGCACCCTCAGTGGGTCTCCTCTTTGGTAGGAGAGCAGCCAGAGAAGAAGCTGCTATTGCTGGCCAGAGCTCGTTTCTTTCTTTCTTTCTTTCTTTCTTTCTTTCTTTCTTCTTCTTTTTCTTCTTCTTCTTCTTCTTCTTCTTCTTCTTCTTCTTCTTCTTCTTCTTCTTCCATGTGGCCTTATTTTCTTGGGATTCTGTTGTTCTGTGTTTTATGTCTGGTACATCTAAGGAAACTGCAAGAGCCGTCTTCCTTAACAGAACCTGATCCATATCACACGTCTCTTTTAGGATCTTGGTATTGGGAGTGGCACATATGGGGTTGAAGAAGCTCAGTCCTGGGATCACCTCTGTAGGATCCTCCAGCTTGAAGGAGCCTCCAGAATCCTGGTTCTGCTCAATAGTACCCAAGCTATCTTGTTCTTGCTGATGGTTCCGGCACTTTGTGTGGTCACAACCACAGGCTCCAGTGCAGTTCACCTCTTGATTCCTGCACCCACAGTGTTTGTTCCTGCACCATCCCCTGCAGGAACACCTGTGGATGGTCTTCCTGGGCACTTTAGCCAGTTTCCTTGGTTTCCACTCCTCATCTTTGGCATCACCATCTTCAGACTCATTTGCAGAATGCTGTGAATGATACTTCAGATCCTCAGTGTCCATGCTGTGTTCCAGGAACTTGTCTCTAACATGGGATGGTTTAGGTGGAGGTGGGATGTAGTTAAAGGAAGAATCTGCAGATTGAAGGCTGCCATGTTTGGGAAGATGAGATTTCTGGCCGCTGGCCCCTTGAAGAAGGGTCAGTTTCTGACTGGTGGTTTCATTCTCTTGGAGAAGCTGTTGATTTTGCTCACATCCTTCTTGCATTTTCCTAAACTGTTCCTCCTGACACTGTGAGGTGTCGAGCAGCTGCTGCTCCTTTCCCCAGTGGACGCCTCCAGCTGCGTCTCCCTGTTTGGCTTTGCTGCATCTGACTGAGGAGGTAGAGCAGCTTCTCCTGGGGCTTTTGCTCCACTTGGAGCAACTCAGCTTTCAACTGTCTCTACCACGACAAGATGATTCCTCTCCTCAGACAGAATCCCCTGCATTTGAGAATAGCTGGCCTGGCTCTGTTTCAAGTTGCTTTCAAGCTGGCTGACCCATAGTTTGGAGGAGACCAGCTCTCCAACCAAATATTTGAGCGCACATTTGGCTTCCAGAATATCAGTAATATTCTCCCAGGGTCGTTTTGACCTGTCTTCGCTTTCTGCATCCAGGAGCTTTTGCTGTAGGTCAGCAATCTGAGCACTTCTGGGTTCCATTTCAGACTCTAGACTGTTAATCTGCTTTGCGATAGAATCCTCTGACTGAATCATGACCACAGACTTCATCACTGGCCACTGTGCTCCTCTGGAGCTTCGGCGGTGGGTTCTCCCCAGGTTCCTTGATTTTTTTTTTTTTTTTTTTTTTTTTTTTTTTTTTTTTTTTGGTTTTTCGAGACAGGGTTTCTCTGTGGTTTTGGAGCCTGTCCTGGAACTAGCTCTTGTAGACCAGGCTGGTCTCGAACTCACAGAAATCCGCCTGCCTCTGCCTCCCGAGTGCTGGGATTAAAGGCGTGCGCCACCACCGCCCGGCTTCCTTGATTTCTTTAAGTTGAGCCGCATAGAGGGCTAGGATCTTTCACTCTTCACGAAGGTCATTCAGATGGCGCTCGACTTCCTCAGTACTGATCATAACTTCAGTTTCATTTCTAAGCCAGTTCTTCACTTGTGCTTCTGTGCCTTCTATTCCGCAGCTCTGAGTTTCTTTCTGTTTTTCTGTGGCTTCCTGTTGCTTTTGTGGGAATTCCTTGAAGTGCTTGTTGGCAGCTGCTGCCTCTTCAGTTTTCTGCCCGAGCACATTGGACTGTTTCTGGAAATCCCCTTTATGTTTAAGCAGTTCATATTGCCTTTTATGGTCTTGTTGTTTTAGCTGGATTACTTCTTTGTCCTTTTGTTGCTATTGGGACAGTTTCCTTCAGTCTATGCTCAGATTTGTAAAAATGACATTTAATCCATTGCCTGTTAGTCAAACTGGGTGAACTGATTGAATTTGTCCTCATTATATCAGTTACATCTGTCTGTTGTTTTCCTACTGTCATTGTCTTGGTTGAGAATTGGACACTGCAGGTAACATGTTGTGGCAACTCTGGATTCTGGTTGGTTCTTCTAAGAAATACTATTGTTACTGCTAGTCTAAACAATCTGTCTCCTTGTTAAAGAAGAAAAGAAAAACTGCAAACTGTCTTTCCTGTCATTCTGGTGGTTAATGTCCTGCTGGGTTTTTGGCTTCCACTGCTTTTATTTTTCAGCTCTTCTGGGAGTGTTCTCTACTCTGGTGTGGCAGGAGAATTTAGACGTGTTTTCTATGTGAATTTTATTTTTAGTTTTTTTTTTTCGAGACAGGGTTTCTCTGTAGCTTTGGAGCCTGTCCTGGAACTAGCTCTTGTAGACCAGGCTGGCCCCGAACTCCCAGAGATCCGCCTGTCTCTGCCTCCCGAGTGCTGGGATTAAAGGCGTGCGCCACCGCTGCCCGGCTTCTATGTGAATTTTAGAGCTCCCCTTTCTTGCTGCTCCCCTGTTCCTGGGATTTCCCTCCTAAATTTACAAATGCTCTGCCAGCCCCATGCTGGACTCTGACTTACCAAGTCAGTAAAGCTTCAGTTTTGTGCTTCCTGGGCTGTTCCAGCACGTGGCCTTATAATTATGTATATCTTACTAGCATTTCCATCAACCTGCTATTACAAACAATGATGCAAAATATCCTTCAATATGTGTACACATGTGTTTGTGTGTACGATTTCATAAATATGTGAAGTAACACGGGAAAAATCCCAAATCAGTGAAATTTGCTATTGAAAACCATTCATCTACAAGTGTACATATGTGTGTATATTTGGACATTTTTGACTAATTTTATTTTGAAAATGTTGGGTAGAATATGCCAAAATAAGTGTTATTAATGTTGTAAAATAATGTATGCTGATTTCTTCTTTCTTCAAGTTCAACAGTCGGGCTCTCTGGATGTTGGACATTCCTAGAAGAAACATCACAGTAAGAAAAAGTAAGAGTAATCTGAGCTAATTCTGTTACTTATTGGTTTTGTTGGTAAATATAGCAAATCAAAGCACTGACTTCATGTAATAAATTACACCTTACCTCAAGCATTGTGTGAGGGACAGCTCCGGGTGAGACACAACACATGTGTCCACTCACCCCAGAAAGGGAGCCGGCTACAGTACAACAAAGTAACTGTCGCACCAGTGTCTGTTCTGGGGAACCAGTGAGTTTTTTTCAGGGGCTTGCTAAGCTAGTTGTGAGGAACAGGGATAACTCAAGTGCAGCTGCCTCATCAGAAAGCCCACCCTAGCATGGGGGTGACTCACCAAAATCTGCAACCCTGTAGCTTTCTCCAAGCTTGTGCAGCCCCGCAGTCAGGACATCTCTCTCTTTCCTGGGATGTCTAGTCCTCTACACCAACAACAACTGTTTACTCCCCTTACATAGATGGGTGGAGGCACAAAAGAATCTTCCATGTTTCTGTTCTGGATTTGTACCCTTTTGTTTGCCTGCTGAAACCGGTGAGTCAAGGCTCGCCCCTGGAGGAAATGTTCGAGTTGTAGAGAAGGTTACAATTTGGAGGAATGTTCCATATGACATCACATAAATGCCCCATACAGTTGCGTGGAACATACTAATAATAATTATTTGTGGTTTATTTGAAGTTCAAATTTACCTGAGCATTTAATCTGGCAGTCTTTTTTGTTTTTTGTTTTTTGAGACAGGTTTATCTATAGCTTTGGAGCCTGTCCTGGAACTTGCTCTTATAGAGCAGGATAGCCTTGAACTCACAGAGATCCACCTGCCTCTCCCTCCGAGTTCTGGGATTAACGGTGTGCACCACTACTGCTCAGCTTATCTGGCAGTCTTACAAGTTGACTTGGCTAACATGTTTGTATTATATAGCAATCTCTCTCTCTCTCTCTCTCTCTCTCTGTATGTATATATATTTGTGTGTGTATTATATAAATGATAACCATTCTGTATTTAAAATGAAATCATTTTCTAGAAGTTGGAGAGTTTATATTGGGAAAATTGGGCCTTGATGAATTTTATTGAAATGGAATTAATGTGAAAATATTACAGGATGTAATATATGATGTATTACTTTGTTATGGAATCTACTCTTAAGTGGTGTGTGGAGTATAACATTTCATACTGCTCTAAATACCCAGAGGGAGAAGAGGAGGAATATCAAATTCCAGGAGTGGGAATATTGAGCTAGTGGATCAAATTAATACCTCTTCAGTCATGTGATATGTGAAAAATGGCCAGACTCATATGATATATTCAAAGTAACCTCTGAATTAATTTTCCCTATAGAAAATAAAATATTTATTTTATTTCATTTTCATCTCAATATCTCTGTGTCTCAGCCATCATATTTGCCTATAGCCTTTCATCTAGAAATGGGAAATTGAGAGAATTCCCCTTTCAAAAGTTGTCATGTGGACTGTTGCTGTTTTTTAGTGTTCAGATTTGTTTTGGCAACATTATATTTGAGATTTCAGGACTGAGTGCAGCTTATCTACAATTCTGAAGCCAACACTGCGGTCCTCACTAGCTCTCACAGTTACATTAGTGGTTCCATAATGTACTCTGTGCCTTCGGTGTAGGGTGGTGTCATATATGTAGCAGGGAACCCCATGGTCTGTTGATCTCTGCATTTTGACCAATTAAGACTTTGTATAATAGTCTTTGCTACAAAAAGAAGCTTCTTTGATAAGAGGTAAGAGCTACATATATCTGTAGCTATAAGAATGAGGATTTAAAATACAGTTAGAAGTCAGGTTTGGTGGTGCACATCTTTAATCCCAACACTCAGGAGCGGGGGCCAGCAGATCTCTGTGAGTTTGAGGCCAGCCTGGTCTGCAAAATGAATTACAGCACAGATACAGCTGTTACACAGAGAAACACTTTCTCAAAAAGAAGAATAAGAAAATGTACTTCGAGATTATAGTGACTGCAAAAATAGGAGGAGGAGGAGGTCCTCTTCCATATTCCATGGCTTCACCAGCTCCAGGCAGTCAGCTCAGTGTACAGTACCCAGCATTATGTCCTCCTACTGTATGAGCCTTTAGTCCAGTTAGTCAGCTGTTGCCCACCACCAAGATATAAGTGCCACTTTGGCACCTCTAGGGATAGCCTGCCCTGTTGGTAATTGTGGCTTTTAGTCAACACAACTCGGAAGGACTATTAATTGGGTTTCTCTCTTTGCGGTTTGCATAGCTCCTTCCATTATTGTGATGTCTAGTCCTCAGGGAGGAACCTTTGGATAAGACCAAGGTTGATTCCTTCAAGTTGTGTACTGTGTAAGGATATATTGCTGTGGTTAGGTTAATGAAGAGCTGAACAGACAATAGCTAGGCAGGAGATACAGACAGGATTTTCATGGAGAGAAAGGAAGAGGAGGAGGAATCAAGAGACAGAAGAAGCCAGGACACACAGAAGGAAAATAGGAGGTGCAAGATGGAAGAGAGGTAATGCCACATCATAGTACTTAGATGAAAATAAATGGGTCAATTTAAGTTATAAGAAGTAGTGAAGAACAAGTCCAAGCTATAGACCGAACTTTCATAATTAACAAGTCTTCATCTCAGTATTTGAGAGCTTGCTGGTGGGACAGAGAAAGACTCATTACATAATGCACCCATTGTATCTAATATCAAATATCTAAATATAGGGCCTGAGAAAGCTAAGGAATATTCTGGACAAGGAGCCACATGTCGATTCCTAGTCCTATAGTCTCTCAAGTGCCCAGTGCCCAGCAGCATACAGAGATGTGACTCCCAGATGCTTCCTGGGGACTGGAAAGAGCTGCCAGTGCTGTGCACCAGTGTGATGTGCTAAGCTGAGTTGTTCACGTCAGTTGTTCACTTAAATTGACACATCAATTTGAGATTTGAATCACATGATAGGATTATGCTGCAAGCACTTAATAAAGCCAGGTTCAAACACAGCAAACCTCTAAAAAGATACAGTATATTTAAAAACTTGCACGGAACCACAATTCTTAGTTAAGGGAACCACTTTAGGGTGAGCAAGAGATTTGACCCTAGAGGGGCTCCCAAGTGCCCAACATGAGGTTCCCAGTTAGTTCCTTGGGTAGCTGAGGACTGGGAACCTGAAATGACCCTATCCGAGAGCAATACTGACGAATATCTTGCATATCATCATAGAACCTTCATCTGGTGATGGATGGAGACAGAGACAGAGACCCACACTGGAGCACTGGACTGAGCTCCCAAGGTCCCAATGAGGAGCAGAAGGAGGGAGAACAGGAGCAAAGAAGTCGGGACCACGAGGCGTGCACCCACCCACTGAGACAGTGGAGCTGATCTACTGGGAGCTCACCAAGGCCAGCTGGACTGTGACTGAAAAAGCATGGGATAAAGCCAGACTCTCTGAACATGGCGAACAATGAGGGCTGATGAGACGCCAAGGACAATGGCACGGGGTTTTGATCCTACTTAATGTGCTGGCTTTGTGGAAGCCTAGCCAGTTTGGATGTTCACCTTCCTAGATATGGACGGAGGGGGGAGGACCTAGGACTTGCCACAGGGCAGGGAACCTGGACTGCTCTGTGGACTGGAGAGGGAGGGGGAGAGGAGTGGGGGGAGGGGTAGAAGGGTGGGAGGAGGGGGAGAAGGGTGGGAGGAGGGGGAGGGAGATGGGAGGCTGGGAGGAGGTGGAAACTTGTTTTTTGTTTATGTTTTTTTTCTTCTTTTCTTAATAAAAAAATTATTAAAAAAAAAAAAAAAAAAAAATAAAAACTTGCTTAGTTACTAGAGAAAGAAAGGAAAAGGGGTATAGACAGTCATAGTAAAAAAATAATTTGAAAGTAATCAGGTAAAAATTTTAAAGAAAGAGTAAAGTCAAATGAAAAAAAAATAAAGCTACATAAAGATGGGAAATGCATAGGGCTTCTGGATCCTGTATGGTGCTTTGTTCACTTTGAATTTTTGAATGTTGATGAACAAATGATGGCTACTGAGAGACACTGGATTATGGAAAGGACTACTGAATTAAACCAGCCTTTATACTTTAGAAATGTCTTGACTTCAGCATGGAAGTCGAGAAATATGTTGTGTTGGGGGAGAAGTGATGCCTTTATTTCCACAGGAAATGAAAAACTATGGATTTCTTCAAAGTTAATAGAGATCATAGTTTGATGATGGACACTATAAAGTTATTCCACACTAGCTCAGAATTGAGTAAAATAAAGGATTCTTTATTCAGGGGTAGACTCACAGATCACAATCCTCTTCACAAATAGGGAACAGGAACTGAATACAGAAGTGGAGAGACAGAGTATGCACTAGGTTTATGGCTGCATTTATAGTATATGAGACCATGCCTAAGTGGACTGGCATCTTAAAGGCTATTGACAGAAGAAGTTCCCACAGCACCTCCCCCTTTTGTCTAAATAAGAGAATTCTAAGTCTAATACAAAACTATATAAAATAAGAACAAATATCAAGTATAAAAATTAGAATTACAACCAGCATAAACAATATCAAGCAAGAAACATATGTTTTCATATAATTATCCTATCCTAAAGAGTCTAAGTCTTCTATTAGAAACAGCTTGGCTAAGTCATGAGAGGAAAGTAACTACCACTCTCTAGTCTAGTCAACCTCATTGAAGACCTGAGAAAGGAAAAAATATTACTTCAGTAAACCGGAAGTGCAATCAAGCAACTTCCAGAATGTGTAATAAATGACAGGCAACTGGCTACCTGGGCAATCACTGAAAGTCTCGTTTGCAATGTTGGATCAACCAACTTTGGTTAAGGCCTAGAGTAACTGACAGACCATTTCACAGGCAGGAAAAATTTCAAAACTGTATTACTCTGTCTTGGCAGTGTTTGACAGTCTTTTTTCTTGTATCCTGCTTGTCCTGTCCAGACACTATGCATTTTGTCAGTGGTCAAGGCATGGGCAGTTCCTTGCCCAAAGGTCAGTTTTGCCAAGAAGAAAATAAGCTCCAAGTAGAGTGTCTTCA